TCATAATTACCAAAACTTGGAAGCAACCAAGATGTCTTTTATTAGATGAATGGATAAATGATACATTCAGACAATGAAATATTACTTATTACTACAGAGAAATGAATTATTAAACCATGAAAAGACCTGGAGGAACCTTAAATGCATATTAGTAAGTAAAAGAAGCCAATCTGAAAAGGCAACATACACTGTATGATTCTAATATAGGACATTCTGGGAGAGAGAAAACTATGGAAACAGTAAAGAGATCAATGGTTTCTAGGGGTTGGCAGGGAAAGAGGGATAAATAGGTAGAGCTCAGAGATTTTTAGGGCAGTGAAATAATTCTGTGTGATATTGTCACAGTGGGCACAGGTAACGAGGTTCTTGGTGATTTGGGACAAAGAATTGAACTGAACACCCAGAGTTTATAGCAGAGAACATGGGAGCAGGCCAACTCCAAGCAGAGATTGACCTCACAGGCTGGAGGGACTCTATTCTTATAGGGCGGATCCTTCCTGGCTAGTTTTGGTGGGCTTTTACTGTGCATGTACAAGTAGTTGTATTACTTTAAAGCTACTGCACATGTGTCTCCCATGATTTTCCCTGATTGGCCACCAGGGAAGAGGGTCCCACAATGCTACTGAATTGACCTCCCTTTCTCCTGGGTTCCCCCTTTACCAGGTTCACCTTTCCCTTCGCCAGAGAATTATAGCTCTCCATGTTAGAGATTGGTGAAAAGAAAGGAATTATTTATTCAAGTTATACAGACTTAAGAGTAATGACTCAATGTCTTCATCAAAATCCCAAAGTTCCTTAAAACACCCACAAACACACACAGTCCTTCCTTTCCCCCTTTGCCCAGTCTGGGGTATCGTATCTCAGGGAAAGAAATAGAAGTCCGTGGCCCAGGCAGCCCCTGGTTCTTCCCAGTAATCCGTGCTTGGCTGGGAGGTCTCCTTTGGTTCCCAGCACCATCAGCTGTGTCACCAGGATCTTCAGCTAAAGTCATGTGGTGGTTCTCTGCTAAAGCTGCATGGTGATTCTTCTCATGGCTGCTGGGGTGGGGGGTCCCCACTCTGGCCAAAGCCACGTGGTTCTCCCTCACCAAGACTGCAGGGGTCCCCACTCTGCCAAAAGTGCGTGCTTCTCTCTCCACTGCTACAGCTGCATGGCTCCCTCTTCAATGGCTGCCACATCTGGGTTTAAATCCCAGAGCCAATCTTCCTCTGCAGCCCCATTTCTGACTCCTCCCACAATCGGCTGCACTTGCCAGCACTCCCACACCCTTCCAGCTTTACTGGGCTGCCATGATGAGTCTGGGCAGGGGTGGCCCCATGTTGTGGAACCAATCATCTCCAAGCTCTCATGGAGGCTCTGTAACTAGGGGGAGTTGCCTCCCAGTTACATCTTGGGGGAAAGTTCCTTCCATCCCCCTGGCTCAGAGCATGGCCATAGCTATTTAACATATCTATGCAATCAGTTAAAGGTTATAGATGTGTTAAATGACCACAGCCAGAGATTAGTTGCAAAGCTGTTGCTATGCAAAACAGCTCTCAATGGCCCTGTTCCATGTGTCCCTTCCCCCAACTCACACCTGTGGTGGAGGGTGAGGACATACTATATATCTTTCTAATATTTCCTGGACACCTTGAGTTCTGGACCCCATTACAAATCCTTCTTTTGGGGGCCCCCAGCTGCACCCTTTTACAATATTACAATGGTGGATACATGTCATTATACATTTGTCTAAATCCATAAAATACACAGCACGAAGAGTGAATGCTCATGTAAACTGTGAACTTTGGGAGATGATGTGTCCATGTATTACCAGCCAGTGATCTTTCAGTTGCAGTAAATGTACCTCTCTGAGGTTGAAGGTTGATAGTGGAGGAGGCTGTTCATGTGTGGGGCAAAAGGTATATGGACACTCTCTACATTTACTCAGTTTTGCTGTGAACATAATATTTAAAAGGGAAAAACAGGCAGATTTTGAAAATACCATTCCAGTAAAGACGCTGACTTCTACTGTTGCTGTCAAGAAGCTATCTGGGAAAGTGCCACTGGGTTTCCTTCAGAGGTAATTAGGATTTTCTTTCTACATTCTTTTAAGATCTCTTTATCTTTGATGTGCTGCAGTTTGACTACAATACCTCTAGCTATAGATTTCTTTTTTGTTTAGCATTCTTGGAATTTGTTGTGCTTCCCAAATCTGTAGACTTGTGTTTCGTATTAGATCTGGAATATTCTCATCATTATCTTTAAATACTGTTTCTTTCCCATTCTCAATAGTCTTTGCCTCTGGCATTCTAATTAGGTTACATGATAAATCATTCTCATTCTGTTCAGGTCCCTCAACATTCCTTCCATACTTTCCTATCTTTATTTCAGACTAGCTTTCTAAGCGGTTTCTTCAGATCCACCTTCTAAATCACAAATTCTATTTTCAACTGTTTGACCTATCTGCAGAGTCTTGTGCATGGTTATGTATACATTTTATTAAAATGTTATCCACTGATTTTTAAATTTCATTGATTACATTTTAATTTCTAGAGGATTGGGGGGGCGTATTTTTTAAAAATTCTGACAGGTCACAAATTTTCAGAGACTTTTCCTCCTCACCCAGAGCCAGCAGCAAGAAAGACATGATTTCTTGCTATCTTCCCTTGAACTCAGAAAGATTTTTTCCTCCTCCCAGGTCCACCCTCTCATGGAGACTGTAACGCTTCCACAGCACCTGACTTCTGTGGGAGATTCTCTTTTCCAGCCCCCTACTTCAGACACACCAAAGGCTTGGTCTACTGGGCCCAAATTACTCATTAACACCTAAGCCTCTAGGTGCTGGTTTAATAAAATGCCCCTAGGATTTCCACGGCTTTGAGGTTAGCTTACTACCCTGATTTTAATTCTATTTGGCACCTGGGATTTTCTTTACTCTCCTTTAAGCTCAGTTATGCATTTTCTGTTGTCATTTCTAGCTACCTTGTTGTGGAAGGATTTTTCATAATATTAACTTTCCATATTGTCAAACTCAGGCTCTGTTCCAGTGAGGGTTGTCAGCTAAAACACAGAATGTTGGGTTGTGTTTGAATTTCAGACATCACATGGATTTTTTTTAGTATAAGAATACCCCATGATATATTATTCATTATTTATCTGAAATTCAAATTTTTACTGGATGTCCTGGGTTTTTATTTGCAAAATCTGGCCACCTTATTGCCAATCCATCTCCTGCCATTTCCCCCCTCACTCCCTGTGCTACAGCCACACAGGCCTTTCTGTCCCTCAGAAGCACCAAGCTGATTTCCAGCCGTGGAGCCTTTCTGCTTGCTTTTCCCTTGCCTGGAACATTCTTATTCTAAATCTTCACACAGCTGGCTTCTTATTATGTAGATGTCAGCTTAAATGGAACCTACCTTCACTTCCTGTCAGGCTCCATCACCACTACTTATAAAACTTCACATTCTCTGAAATTATATTATTTATTTGTTTACTTGTCATTTTCCCCCTTTCTCCCCATAGAAGAATGTAAGCTTCATGAGGGCAAGGGCCTCATTAGTTGCTATATCCATCCCTGGCACCTGACACAGTGCCTGGCACTTAGTGGGCCCTGAATAAATGTTCTTTTGGATGAATGATAAACAGGCAGCCCAAACCCTTCTCTGCAAAGTTGAGTTATGAAGATCTGCTGAAGGTGGACCAGCTGGCCTTAATCAAAAAACAACAGCAACAAACATTTTTAAAAAATCACATGGATTCCAAGCAAAATTGCCTTGAAGAAAGGGCTGGTTCCTACTGTGAGTGGCTGATGTGGAAGATCCGCAGCCCCAGTATTTCCTTGCAGAGCTTGCGCCCTAGCGAACAATGACCCAGTGAAGGAGTGGGAACACCTGCCTTTGCTCTGCGCTGAGTCATCTTCAGCTGGTGGACTGAGGCTTTGTGGAGGGGCAGTGTATTTATTGCAGTTCTTGACGCCGAGAGACACCGTGGGGCAGTCAGCTCCACCCCCCCCGTCCCCCCGCCCCCGACTTCTCTACCTGCCGGTGTGCAGAAGTCGGGCAGAGCCCGCCATCCGATTTGGAACTCCACAAATTCTGGTGTTTAGAAGCTATTCAAGAGAAAGAAGAAAACCTCAGGAAAAAGCTTAATTTTAACAAAAACTAGTAAAATTTTAAAAGAGCCAGGCTGGTAGTTATACCTCCAGTTTGAAAATCTTGGAGGCCATAGATGCTATGGTGGGGATCTGGAAGTGTCTGTTAGGGGTGGATAAAGTATAAGCAATTGTATGTTGGTGAAGCATAAATTGAGAGAGAAAATGTTAAAATAACTGGAGAGAGGAGGAGGGAGGCAACTGTGTTTGGGTGGAGTTTGTAGACCTCATCGAGAAGCTTGGTCTTTATCAGCAGGGTATATAGAAACCCTTAATAGTCTATTGAAGAAAGATTATGAAAGTTTGAAGAATAATAATAATTTTAGTCATAGTAGCCAAGAATTAAACCAGGCACTCACTAAACTCATTATATAACCTTGTTTATCCCACGGCAACCCAACTTCGTGTGAACTAGTGTTTATATCTCCGATTTATAGGTAAGGTGAAAAAAAAAGTTGAGAGGATAAGTGACTTGGCCAAGATCACTCAGCAGTACCCAGATCAGTCTAACTAGAGCCCTCTTTTCACTGCCGTGGCCTAAGGCATCGGAAGGGGGTGGGGGGAAGAAGGCAGATTTGGAAAACACTGAGGAGGCAAATAAAGATAATAGCGGACGGGGAGGAGCTTCGGCGTGTGGGCTGAGGAGCTAAACGTCCAGTGTGATATAAAGCTTCCACACTTGCAGAGTGACAACATAATCCTGTCTACCTCGCCAACATAATTCTGTCTTCCACAGCCAACACTTGGCCTCCTGGGGCGCTCCAGGCGGCGCCGCGGGGGGACCTCAGGCCCCGCCCCGCCCCGCCGCGCCCCTCCGGTGGGCGTCGCCGCGGGCCACGTGGTCCGCGCCGGTGCTTCCGGGTTGGCAGCACCGGAGCTGAACCACGGGCGGTGCAGGAACCCCAGTGGCAGGCCCAGCGGAGCTGGAGACCAGGGAAAGCCCGGCGCGGGTGCGCCCGCCAGGCCGCTGGGTGGGCTGGTCGCGATCCACACCTCGCCGGATGCCCTGAGAGGTAGGTCCACCCCAGACCTACAGTCCGCGGGTGCGAGACCCGCGGCCATCTCGACCCCTCCTCAGCCCTCAGCTCCCAGGTCCGGCCCGTGGGGCTCGGGCCCGGAGGTGGGGGCCTCTCCCGCGCCCGGCTTCCAGCTCAGCGCTCCCGGGATCCGGAAATCGTCAATCCGCCCCTCTTCGCCGAGCGCTGTCTGGCGTCAGCCTGGGGCGTTCCACGCCGGCCTTTTAAAGCCAGGCCCCCTGCGCCTTGCGTTATTATTTAGTTACAGATACTTAGCACATGCGCTTTTCATACTTGTTTTCAGAAAATGGCTATTAATGTGTGGAATCGAGACACTGTAACTCTCATTCTGTTATTTGTGCAACTATGGAAAGTGAGCGCTGGGAATGAGTTTTAGGGGTGCTTGATCCCAATTCCTTCATTCTGCGAAGGGGAAAACAAAACAGACCCTGAAAGGTAACGCGGATGTTGGAAAGTCGCCCAGCTAGCTAATGGTACAACAGTAAAAAGAACCCAAAGCTAAGTTTTTAAAAGTGCTAAATGGTAAATTTCAGTGAACAAGGTGAAGTTAATAGTAGGTTCACGTGGTCTGGCATTAACCTTGTTAGTACTTAACTCCTTTTTAAACATTGTTTTCTCACTTCAGGCTTAATTTTTCTTGTCTTCTAAAGAAAATGGCAGAAACATCATCAGAGCCTTCTGGGCACCTCGTTGTACACTCAGACACTCACAGTAACGCTGTCCTGGCCAGTTTCGAGGACCAGAGGAAGAAAGGCTTTCTCTGTGACATTACTTTAATCGTGGAGAATGTGCATTTCCGGGCCCACAAAGCCTTACTGGCTGCCAGTAGTGAATACTTCTCCATGATGTTTGCTGAAGAGGGGGAGATCGGCCAGTCCACTTATATGCTGGAAGGCATGGTAGCCGACACATTTGGTATCCTGCTGGAGTTCATCTACACAGGTTGTCTCCAGGCCAGTGAGAAAAGTACAGAACAAATCCTGGCTACCGCTCAATTCTTAAAAGTCTATGACCTGGTAAAGGCATATACAGACTTTCAAATTAATCATAGTTCCCCAAAGCCCATGACTTTGAACACGCCTGGTGCTCCAGTGGTTGTTATTTCTAATAAGAAAAATGATCCGCCGAAGCGCAAACGAGGAAGACCAAGAAAAGTCAACAGTTTGCAGGAGGGGAGATCAGAACTGGCTGCAGAGGAAGAAATACAGCTGAGAGTAAACAATTCAGTTCAGAACAGACAAAACTTTGTGGTTAAAGAGGTAGACAATGGTATACTGAATGAACAGACTGCAGCAAAAGAAATGGAGGAATGTGAGCCTGCTTGTGAGCTGCTAGGTCGAGGGGAGGAAACCCCTGCTGAAAAAGATGAGAACTGTGATCCTAAGACCCAGGATGGACAGGACCACCAGACTCGGTATAGCAAGCGGAGGATTCAGAGATCCATCAAACTTAAAGACTACAAACTTGTTGGGGATGAAGAAGACCAGGGTTCAGCCAAGAGGGTCTGTGGTAGGAGAAAGCGTCCAGTTGGCCCTGAGGCCCGTTGTAAAGACTGTGGCAAAGTCTTCAAGTACAATCACTTTTTAGCAATCCACCAGAGGAGCCACACGGGTAATTACGCTTTCACAGCTTATTGGAATGTGTTTTACAGTAGTAATGGTGATAATAGATTTCATTTATTGTGCATCTTCTAGGTCATGTGTATTACAATAAAGCCATTATAATTGTTATTGCATGTAGTTCTCCCAAGAGCCCTGTGAGATAGGTTATATTACCCCTGTTATACAGATGAAGAGGCCAAGTCCTAGAAAGCTTAAATTTGAACCATGGTAGCCTGATTCCAAATAACGAGCTCTAGCCAAATTTATCTGCTTTCTGACCCTTGAACGTTCCTCACCTTGACCCTAGCTATCTATGCCTTTGGTCTGTGTAAACAGCTTTCTCACTCAGCCAGCTAGCTGTAATCTAGCAGTAAATGTCTTCTTTTGGGTCTCTCTAGCCCAGTACTGGCTGAGAGACACTTCTGTGATGATGGTAATATCATCATCAGATACAGGGTTGTCCAATGTGGTGGCCACTAGCCACATGTGGATTTTGAGCACTTGACATATGACAAGTGTGACTGAGGAACTGAATTTTTTAAGTTCATTTAAATGGCCACCATATTGGACACTGCAGCACTTGCCAGAAATCCCTTCCTTTGAACTTTCTCTTATACATACACTCACTCTGCTTTGAGTTCAGTTGTAGTTACCACTTAAATACCCCTCCACTTAATTGTAAGCTTATGTGCTTAAATATTCCATCATCCTGCAACTTTCTGTTCTCTGACCCAGCAGCACCTAGCACTGTGGTTTTGAAACTGGCTGCACCTTAGAACTGCCTAGAGAACTTCTAAAACTGCCAGTGCCTGGGCCCCCACTCTAGAGGTTCTGATTTGTTTGGAGCCTGTGTTTTTAAAATTGGTAAGAACCCTGAATTCTGGTTCTTCGAACAAGGTAGACCCTTGAGAAATTTGTTGAGCTGTGTAGTATAGTGTAGTGTAAAGAGTTAAATAGTCTGTCTACAAGATTGTTTAAGGAAAAGCGCATGTAGGAGCTTCCCTTCTGTCCCGGTCCTCTGAAAGTTTTTAGTGAATCACTTTAGAGTGGGTCTCTCTGGAAACTCCTGCCTTTCAGATCCAGAAAGTTTCCTGGAATTGTTTCATAGGTGATTTCTCCGTTTGCTCTGCTCCGTTTCTGGAACAACTGTTACTTGGTTGTTGAACCTCTTGGACCTGTCCTCTAACTTCCTTATCTTTTCTCTCCTGTTTTCCACCTGGGAGATTCCCATTTATCCTCTCGGCCCTTATAGTTTTTCTATTTCCGCTCTTATTTTTTTACTTCTAGGCTCTCTTTTTTCTCTAAAAAGAAATTTACTACAATCCCTTTTTTGTTGTTGTTGTTTCACGATGTAATGTCTTACCCCTGTGAGCATGTTGTTAATAACATTTACTTGTTAGGTTTTAACATTTTCTTCATCTTGAGCAGTTTCTGTTTTCTGCAAGTTGCCTTTTTTTCTTCTTGTTTTGGCATCTGTTTCAACTACTAGAGGCCTGCCTTGAATGATTTTTTTTTTTTTAATTATAATCTTGTCCTGGTTGGTTGGCTCAGTTGGCTGGAGCATTGTCCCGTACACCAAAAGCTTGTGGGCTTGATTCCTAGTCAGGGCACACACCTAGGAAACAACCAGTCAGTGTTTCTCTCTCACATAGATGTCTGTCTGTTTCTCTCTCTCTCTCCCTCTCTCTCTCTCTCTCCCTCTCTCTCTCTCTCTCTCTCTCTCTCTCAAAAATCAATAATAAAATACCCTCATGTGAGAATTAAAAACATTTTTGAAATCACTTTGCTTTCAACTAAATGATTAAAACATTAAAAAAGAATGGTACTCTTGTAAAAATGGTTTCTTTAAAGCTACTAGCGGCCCTGCAGGTATGGAGAGAGCCTGTAGACAACAGCCTTGCTGGGGGCAGCATGGCTGGCCCCCACTTCCTTGCTGGTGCTTTCTAGGCAGACTCCACTCTCCCACCTGGAGACAATAGTCTCCTCATTGCCGGTGTCTACAGCAGGAGGGAGAAGAAGGCTGGGGGGAGTGTCAGCATCCCAGATGTAAACTTGGACCTATTCTTCCTGTGGTCATCCCACCCCATTGTACTGGGAGACCTCTAGTCCAAGACCCCCTAGTCCAGAGACCCTCTGTTTTACCCTCCACGGAGAACAGTCTGCATCTTCTTTTGAGGAGAGGCTGGTGTCCCAGCTTCATGGAGTAGGAGACTGGATCTGAGGGGTCTAACTACCTTTGAAACAGACTGTCATTTATCGTCCTTGCCCCCATTTTCGGAGATAACATGCGCCACCAAGTCCTGAGTCTTATGGAGGGCTGTCTTAAAAATTAGGTTGTATCTCAGTTTTCCTCACTGCTGGCATCAGATTCATCTGTTTCAGCTTGCAAAATTTGATTGCTGATGTTTGTTTCCCCTGTTCATTGGCCTTTTGGATATGTACCATTATTGTCATTTTAATTAGCAAGTGAACAGAAAGATGTGCACATTCTTACTTATACCAATTTTCTGGGTCTCTTATTCCAGGGGAGCGACCTTTCAAATGTAATGAATGTGGAAAAGGCTTTACCCAGAAGCACTCCCTGCAGGTCCACACCCGGATACACACAGGAGAGCGGCCGTATACATGCACCGTGTGCAGCAAGGCTCTCACCACCAAGCACTCACTGCTGGAGCACATGAGCCTGCACTCAGGTAGCTGGGCTTGGACCAGAGGACCAACTACCACCAGGTTCCTATTCCCGGGGTGGGCATTACCATGATCTAAATAGTCTTCTCAGCCTGGTGTTATTGAGAGATAGTTATGCAGCTGTTAAGAGTGTAGGTTAGAGTTCTGCACAGCATCAAGCCTTAAACTAGGGCATATTGTAAACTGGCTGTTGGAAGTTCAATGTGCAGACATGTTCTGTTTAGCCATTCAAACTTAGAATTTTACATTGAATTCCTTTAGGAGAAACTTGAATTCACCAGGTCTACCACCACAGTCTCCACCACTCTCTATTGCCCTATATGCCTTTGCATATTTATGTTACTGTGGTAGAATGTGAGGCATTTGGGTTTATAGACAAGTCACTTGTATCATTTGTAGAATATGGGGACCTGGGCCCAACTGTGAGCATCCTTGTTCTTCATAGTTATTTGCATGCTTTAGTGTTTTGTTTTTCATTTGGCAGGACAGAAGTCTTTTACCTGTGATCAGTGTGGAAAATATTTCAGCCAGAAAAGACAACTAAAGAGCCATTACCGAGTTCATACAGGTACAATAAAGTCAGAGTAAATTTGGATTGGTGGGGGAGAAATGCAAATACAACGTATTTCTGAAACATTAGGTTATATTGTAAAGATAAGTGAGTATTTAGGAAAAAGTCTTAAAAAATAATCTAAATTAGATGCTCTTGTGTTAAATCTCACTATCTGGTGATTTGCATTTAATTTTTATACTACAGTATTGGTGCCACACACAAAAACCCTACAGACTGGTATCTCAAAAGTGCCACCTGACTCTGAGGTGCCAGGGATTGGTTGTTAGTGGTGCCTGGAGAAAGACGTCACCGCCCAGTAGCTGTCAGTCCAGGCTTTCTCCATCCTGGCTCCACCCACTGGCTGTTTATTTTTTTTTCTTTCCTTATAACTGATAAGGAATGAGTGCGGGTTGGGAGTGTCGTGGGAGATTAATTGGCCACAGTCATACCAGTGCTTTCAAGGAAAACGAATATATTCGTTTGGGAGTTGGAAGGGTCCCAGCTTTCTTAGGAAGCAATAAATTGAGATGCATAGGAAAAATATTAACTGTTACCAAATGAATTTAAAAATTATAGTGGTTTTATTAAAGCACCGTATTTAAAGTGATTATTTTTCAGGGAAGTGCTGTAACACAAATCATTGAAGAAGTGCAGGGAGAGCATATATGCACAAACACTTTTTTCCCAAGGGAACAAATCCACTTTTATTTATTTACGTATCAGTAAGTTTAAGTTTATGAGGGGTACAGCATTACACAGATTCCTCGGCAGGAGGGTTGCTCTGGAATTGGGTGTGCACCGTCCACTGCTTCCACGAGCACGCGCTTCCTTTCCCAGATGACTCTGGTTGTGTTCGGTTTGCCACCAGGCATTGCCGTGTTGCTCTTTGCTTTGTACGTGCAAGCACACCTCTTGTCCACATAGAATTGTTTCATCTCAAGCACAAACACCTTCAGTTTTAACAAGAGCTGTGTGCTCCCTCTGGTTCCGGAGACCCCACTTATAGCCAGCAGAAATGGCCTTGGACCACGGCCTTCCAGACAGACTGGTTGTTATAGAAGTCCTGTTCCCAGCAGGCCCCCCAGGCTCCACGATGGCGGGAAGATGCACTGACACTTTTTTTATTGTTGCGACAAGGCCACTCATTACCGGAATGCAACCACTGCCATCGCAAATTCATGGACGTGTCTCAGCTAAAGAAACACCTCCGAACACACACAGGTAACACTCCGCTGATCCTTCCTCTCGTGTACTTGATGTTTTCAGGAGAGTGAGGAATGAAGTGCTTGCAGTCTTCTTCTCAGGTTGTTTATTGTGAATTAGGTGGGAATTTTATAATTGTATAAGCCCAAGCAGTATGCTGTCAGGATCTGTGGGGAAATCACAGTCTGGAGATGAGCAAAACCGATATTACTTACTGAGCACTTTCATCTAGGGAAATTTATCTACTGACTCGAAATAGTGCAAGTCTGAGTGTAGTGCCATGTTTCATTCTGAATTTACTGCAGCATTCAAGATTATCAAGATACTTTTTTTCAGAAAAGGAAGCAAAGTGAAACATACCAAGGTAACATAGGCAGAGGATTTTTCCCACTTTTTCTTCTAGCACCAGTACTTATAACTTAAGCATTGTCACCTCCAGAAAAACCAGCTTCAGGGATAAAGAGGACTCAGGATTAGATGGGGCAGGTCAGATTCTTTCATTTAAGATCAGAAAAGTAAAAATGACCTTTTAGGACTTTGGGTAGGAGCACTTAAAAATAAACCTGTTAAATTTTTTTAAGAAAAATATTCTAGTGTAGGTTAATTATTTAATAATTCTGTTAAATTGTCTATTGAATAACATAATAGGTTGGTTTATATTGCTTTGGACATTTTTTTAATGTAAGTTTTTCTCAAAGTAATTTGCTTTCTTAAAGCAAATGTCTTATAGGATATGAGTGTAATGAAATGAATCTTTATACAATTTTTCTACAGACATTACTATTAATGAGTTCTGTGAAACGTAATTCATCCACTTAACACATATTCAATGAGCAGTTACTGAGGACCATGCACTGTTCTTGGTCCTGAGGATACAGGACTGAATGAGGTGCACTGAGCCCCTGCTTGAGGGGCTAAAATTCAAACAAGGGAGACGAAGAACAACTGTGGAACTGTAAGGTGAGGGTGAGCGCAGTGAAGAACTAAACGCAGGCTACAGGGACAGAGTGCAGAAAAGGAGCTGCCCTTTTATGTGGGGACTTACCTGGGAAGGCCTCACTGACGAGGATCCATCTATGATGGAGATGGGAATGCGGGGAGAGCCATAGATGGAGAGCCGATCTCCATCATAGATGGAGAGCCAGGATCCTGGGAGTAGGAAGGAATGGTGTAGGTGCCATCAGAGGCAACTGGGGATTGTGTAAGGCATGGGTTTTCAGCCTACCTGTGTGTTTCAGTCACCTGAGAAGCTTTGAAAAAGAAAAGGTTTGGCCCTGGCTTGTGCAGTTCAGCGGATTGAGTGCCAGCTTGCAAACTGAAACATCATGGGTTTGATTCCCAGTCAGGGCACACACCCGCATTGTGGGCCAGATCCCCAACTGGGGATGTGTGAGAGGCAACCAATTGATGTATCTCTCACACATTGATATTTCTCTTTCTCTCCTTTTATCTATCTCTAAAGGTAAATAAATAAAATCTTAAAAAAAAAGAAAATATTTTATCCCACCCCAGAGATCCTGATTGAACTAACTTGAGGTAGGGCCTTGGAATTGAAATTGGCATTTTAGTTTTTTTTAGGTGATTCTAGTGTGTACTCAGGCTTAAGGACTTTGTGTGGCCACAGTAAAAGACTTTGGATTTTGTTTTGAATGAGATGACTTTAGCAAGAGGATTAATGTGTCAGGACTAAGGGTTTTAATTGGATCGCTACAGCCACCAGGTGGGGCGTGGTAGGGCACAGGTGGAGGCACCCATTAGGAGGATGGAGAGAGCCGTGGGAGGCTTGCAGTAATCAGGGTCTTGGCACAGTGTGGCAGCAGTGGAAGTGGTGACGAAATGGTCCGCTTCTGGATGTATTCTGAAGTGAGAGTCAATGTGATTTGCTCATGATTGGATGTAGTGGTTGAGAAAAAGGAGAGGCAGAAACAACTGGAAGGATGAAAAACGAGAAGACTGCGGAAGGAACAAATCAAGAGTTCGATTTTGGACATGTGGGCTCTGAGATGTCGATGCAACATCCAAGTGCAGATGACAGGGAGGCAGCTGGGCAGTTGTTTGGTTCGGGAGTGCGGGGGGAGACGTGCTACAGAGATCGGAGTTTCCGTACGTAAATAGTGTGGGAGCCCTGAAGGGAAGACCTTGGGGGGTGGGGGGAGAGCGGAGGTGCCCTGGTTATGTTGAGGAGCACCAGAAACAAGGCACTTCTTGGTTTTGTCTTCTGCGTGTAAGGTGTTAGTGAGGCTTCCAGTCTTTTTGAGACATCACCTTGAAATGGGGGATAAAAAGGAACAGAAGTCCTTTCTCCACAATCCTAGCAAACTCTTCTCCACTCTCTCCTTTAAAAGAGGCAGAAGAGGGAAGTGGAAGATACATGATGGGTAAAAAAGGAGACCAAAAGGGCTCTGTGAAGTGGTTTGTTATGACTTACAAGTAAGAAATTAAACCCACCTGGAAAAAATACAATTAAAAAAATGTAAAGTAAAAAATAATTAATGGCAAAAATTGAGAAAAATAAAACAAAACCAAAAAAAGAGATATTCCAAACTCATGGAGGTAGAGCATAACTCCTCACTCTTTAAATGTAGGTTATGAATAACTCCCTTCCAAAGAGCACAAACAAAAAAAAGCAAACCCATCAAAACACTGGGCTCTTTGAGGGCAAGATTATGACACACCTGCCTGTAGCACTGACAAGACACACAGGTGCACAGTGTTGCTGAAAGAGTTGGTGTGCCACCTCCCTGCCCTCTGGTCAGAGGGGAAGGCTTAGCGAGAGCCTGCCTGGCGGAGCCGGCGCTCACCTCTGCTGTGAGGGCCAGGGCGGGAAGCACCGCCTTCGACAGAGCAGGGCACACTCAGTTGGAAAACTGTGACTGTCATCTCTTAGCTCTTGAATTGCAAAACTCTGGGTTAGATATCCTGTGCCAAACCCAAGAAGTCAGAGATTAACAGATGCTTTTTTCCTGAGAGAACGCCTTCAGTGAGGAAGACGCATGCGTTTTGAAATGGAGGCAGGCACCAGGCAGGTAGGCAACACCTGTGAGGTCGCCACAGCTCCGGCTCTTATACTCAGACCTTGTCCCTCTATCTGGAGCTAGTCAGGCTATCAGGGACTGAGGAAGCCAAGCCAATCAAAGGACTGATAAATCAATTTATGTGTTGACTTAAAAAAGAGACTGTACCTTTCTTTTGTCCACAGTACCAACTGTCCTGATACCAGTGTACCTGAAAACCAAGTTAGCCATCAGAAGATTGTTTGGTGAGCCAGTGACAAGTTCAGGGAATGGTCCCAGGCCATGGAGAGGCCTGCTGAGTGACATCAGACCCTACAGTACAGTTACAGCCCTCTCAGGGCCTGGCTGGTGTGGCTCAGTGGACTGAGCACAGGCCTGCACACAGTTACAGCCCTCTAGTGTTCCTGTCCCTCGTATGACATTAGGATAAACACTAATTCTATACCTAACGGACTCCCACTCACATATAGATGCCCAGCCTAGAAACACTTCATCCAGTTAAGTCACAGCTTCATTTTGTTGGAATGGAATTAAAGCTTCTTAAATCTCAGTCATGTACGTCCAGAGCATCGATTAATGTTGCTTGTCCCCGTCTTGGTAAGGTCTGGAGGCCCCACACTTAGCACACCCTCACAGAATCTATGTATGATCTAGTAAGAGTTTCAGCATGGTGCAGGCCCTAATAGAGGTGTGAACACAGTAATAGAAATGATTCACTTTTCCTGGGAAGATCTGGGGCAGCATCCCGAAAGAAGGACCTGGATCTTGAAGACAGAGTGAGTTCTGGTGGACACGGGAAAATGAAGAGGCGTTTCCAGACAGGAGCAGGGTGTGTGACTTGGAGGATGTGAGAAGTGGATTCCTGAAGGCTGCGGTGTGGGATTCCATGGTGAACACCTAGCGTGAGGTTGCTGACGGGGGGCAGACTTGGGTGAGGTGGGCTCGGGGGAGATAGTTGAGCAGAGGGGAGGCATGAAAAGAACTCAACATGCCGAGTTCTTTTTAGGCATACTAGGCATGCCCAGCCTCCTGCAACCCCAGGAGGCTGGGCAGAGAGAGAGGGTCCTGTGGGTGAACCAGTTAGCGGGCTCTTTGGTGGAGAAAGATGCAGGCCTTTGGGTCAAGGGAGTGGAAAGAAAAGCTATATTTAAGAGCTATGTCTGGAAAAAAATAGTCACCGTGAACATGACAGAGTGTTGATGTCCACAGTATGAAAGTACAAGTACCCCCGTGGAAAACTGGGCCAGAGACAGGAAAGGCATGTCACAGAGGGAGACGTAGGAAAGTCCAGTACGTGTATTAAATGGTGTTAACTACATTAATTATTGAAGAAAAGACATGTGCACTTCTTGTTGTCCACCAGGTTGGCAAATATGTGAGGAAATGGAGACCTTTATGTTCTGCTGCTGGGAATATAACTTGAGAAACTTTCTGGAAAGATCTTCCACAATGTGTATCAAAATATAAACTACCCAATTGTGAAAAGATGTTTGCAGACATATATTCATCATGAGCAGGATTGTTTATAACGTCACACGCTTAGGAACTTGTCAGTGTCCATCAGTACGGGACTAGTTAGGTCAGGTTTGGGCAGGACACGCAGGGAGACACAGCACAGCCTTTCACAGCAGTGGTGTGGCTTTGACCTGCAGAGCAGCGTGCGTCAGGGGGAGGAAGGAGCTCCGCTGCGTGTCTGGGTTCTTTCAGCCGGTCCAAGCTAATAGATGTGAGACAGGTGGACAAGAGGGGAAAAAACAACTGAATTACATTGTACATACGGGGGACCCCACATACAGGTGAGAGTCGGAGACAGAAAGTTAAAATGAGATCTACATGTTGTCCCGAGCCAAGGAATGAGGGGAGTTGCCTTGGGCTTTCAGAGAGGAGGGAAGCCATTCACAGAATGATGAAATAAGAGCAGATGTTCAGTAATTAGAGGTTTGCCCTGCCCTGTAGATAGGTTAAAAAAAGTTATCTGTGGTATAACCCTTGTTATGGGCAAGG